GAATGGCCACTGGCAGCCGTCCTCATCGGCCTGCCGCTCTGCGCTACTTATAGCGCACATCTGAATTTCATGTTCGTTTCAACCCTCAAATATATCGTTCACGGTTTTTCATAGAGCATTCACTATTGCTAATATGTGCTTTCTAACCCTCCCTGCTGACCTGATTAAACAGAAATACGGACAGGTGTCCCCCTCACCCTGTTTGCCTGTGTAGGAAGAGTGGTCGCCTCTGGGCTGGGGTTATCTCTGTGAGAGACTGAGCATCCTGGAGACATCTCCAGTGCTGCTTTCTAGGGATGGGAGGGAGCCGTGCCATAATGCCTAGGTCCAGTGTGGGTACAGCAGGTCTTAGATACCCTGCCTCAGTCGTATGCCTCGGCTTTACTGAAGCGACTGCCACAGAGAATGAGCTCACATGTGGCCAGACTAAGGGGAGAGAGCATAGACCTCAACAAAAGCATTTCAGAAATTTATTCTTGTTAGGTGCACTAGCAGAAATACTGTTGGCTTACACAAGACCCTGGAAGGGGGATGTCTCTTCTCACTAAAGGCCATCTTCACGTTGCCCACGGAGTTGCTCTTCTGATCAGGGATGACGTGGTTAAATGTCCTTCCCAGGTAGTGTGCGTGAATGTTCTAGAGCCAATGCCAGCCCTTGCTCTGCCGCTACACTGTTCACCTGAGAGTCCTGAATTGCTTTCTGGGCTCTATTCATTGTCATGTTTTTTGAACAAGTGAAAATATAGCAAGCAGCAACAGGGAAAACCAGGACCAAATAGGTTGTACAAGGACGTGTGTGCATGTGTGCGTGTGTGCATGTATGTGTGTGTGGCGGGGTGTGGCAAGTGGACGGGTGGGTTCCTCTCACTGATTACTGTCCTGTAGACTATTCCACCTTACTGTGTGGAGACAGAGGAGCCAAGAAAATGAATGAGGGAGGCATCCAGGCTGGTGTTATTCTCCTTTACTTAAATTTCACTTTCTTTGCTCTGTTTCATGACCCTGCATTCCCATTGCACATCCCTGACAGAACAGGAAAACCTGAACTGCAGGTTGGAGTGGCACAACAGTAAATTGTGGTCTGAGGGGAGAGCGGAAAACGCCATGTCACATATTCATCATGTACCTTTGTGACTGTGCTCTCGCCGCGTAGCCTGTGTGTGCACCAGCGGAAGATACGTGTTTTCAAAACCACGATGGTCACACTCAATCTGTGCACCTTTGAAGTACTATTCTGTTCCGAAGTCACTTTCTTGATTGTTTGTCGATAGTAGAAATACCGTAGGACATGTAGTTGGGTAAAGGAAGTCCGACAGCAACACAAAACTGAGATCGATCCTTTCGGGAGAGTTCCCTCACTGATAACATGGGCCATGAGGGTGAGGGTTGTCCAGCTGGTGTGTAACTGCTTGTGAGCTCTGCCAGGTGGTCCCGTAGTTACAGGGCAGCTGTTGTCACCTGAAAATCTACCTTTGAAATCTACTCTTAGCTTCAGTCTGTATTCCTGACAAGTTTAGGACCAATGCCTGTTCTCCAGACCAATTCTTGTAGTCCATGAGGTGCTGTCCAGAATGAAATCCTATTGAAAAGTCCAGTCTGTAACTGAATCTTCATTCAGAAACACCTCCTCAAGACCAGCAGGTGGTATGAAGGTTAAGGCACTGGACTCCTACGTGGATGACCATGGTTCAAGTCCCAGACCCAGTGTCCTGAAACCCATGCTGTGTGTGTGTGTGTGTGTGTGTGTGTGTGTGTGTGCCTAGAATCTCAGGAGGAGAATGGCAGAGAAGAGGTTGTGGCATGGCCACCCCTCCCCCCTACCATGGAGGTGATTTCTCATTTTCCCTCTCTCTGTCTCACGCACCCTATGGCAAAACCTAAAAAAAAAAAAAAGAAAAAGAAGTAGCCTCCTTGTTTACACACTTCTCTGGTCCTCTTTCCACCTGTGCAGCCTGCAGTCAGATGGCTCCGAGGTGCTCCTGAGCCCCGAGGTCACCTGTGGGCCTCCCGACATGGTGGTCAACACTCCTTTCGCGCTGACCATCCCACATTGTGCGGACGTCAGCTCTGAGCACTGGAACATCCATTTAAAGAAGAGGACCCAGCAGGGCAAGTGGGAGGTGAGACCCTGCTCTTCCTTTTTTAGAAGATGGCATTTGGGTTCCTCCGATGAGATAGATTCAGCCTTAACCTCTTACAAGACAGCTGTAGAATTGTGGGTGGTGGGTTTTCTTGTTTCACAAAGGCTTGGTGGCAAGTACAATATCTTCATGGTGTTGCCTCATTTTGCCATGTTACTGAGAAAGAGAGACAAGAATTAGCCTAGAGCCTTTTCGTTTGGTTTGGGAGTACAGCTGCAGTTACCCAAGCAGACACATGCACCTATGCACCTGCTCCTCGACCCAGCTCACTCCTCCAAGGTCATGCCTTCTGAACTGGCAGTCCTCTGGCCTCTCTGGAGTTCAAGAAGGGGCTCAGGACATGGAGTCTGCGTTCAGAAAATACGTCAACCGTTTTTGCATCCCAGGGGTTGGGGCATATCTACGTTTAAGTATTGAGAACACCTTAGGTGCTTAATGTGTGTTTAGTGAATTAATTAATGCACGGAGAATTATTACTGATGCCTGTTTCTCTGTATATATGAATACATGTAAAAGAGTTACAGTACAAGGAGAGAACAAAGAGCGAGACGAGGAAGGAGAACTAGGGTACATACCAGGCTCACACCGGGGGAGACAGTCTCGGCAGAGGAAGATTGCAGTGGAATTACGGTTTTAAGTGAAAGCTCTGATTTATCTGTCTGATAGGGATTCTTTTATGTCCATCTGAAGTCAGTTTACATGAAAGCAGGAAAATTATCTTGTTGGAACACAATGACCTGTTCCCAGCTAGCCCCGGGGTCTTGCCTCACAGGAGGTGATGCAGGCAGAAGAAAAGAGAGAACCATGTTATTTTTAGGAGAAGAAAATTCCCTGTTGCTGCAGTGGATTACGTTTGCCCTGCCCAGCCACATCTTGAGACTAGTCTGTAGTTTTGTCCCAAAATGCATTCTTTTACGTATTCAGCCCTGGAACAACCACAAGCAAGGTTCCAGGGGCATGAAGTTCCAGGGGCTTCATAAGGGGTTGCGTCTTGGTCTCCTTCCCGTTAGGTTTTGTTTTGCTTTAGTTTTTAGCACTTTAGTCTTTTTCCTCACAGGCTGTCCACACAGATGGCGCCGTATCTGTGCGCCACCACACCAGCCACACAAACCTAAGTTCCTATCAGGGAAGGTAAAACATCTAGTACAGGCACCAGCAGATGGTGTAATGGCTACATTGCTCAACTCCCACATAGTGGACTGCCGTTCGAGTCCCAGACATGGTGCCTTAAAACTCATGCTAGGCCCATGTGTGTGCATGCCCCAAATCCTGAGAGGAACATGGAGGAGAAAAGACTAAGGTGTGGCCATCACCTCTGGGAGGTAATTTCTTCTTTTCTGTCTCTGTCTCTCTGGCAAGTATACATGCCCTATAGCACAACTCACTCTCTCTCTCTCTCTCTCTCTCTCTCACTCTCTGTATATATATATATATATATTCCAGATCATTCATTTAAGGGTCAATAATGAAGGATTGGAGTGGAATGGAGGACAAAATACCTGATAAAAAATAAACATTACCTTAAGGATACTTTAAAACGTGTTCAGAAATAAACCTTGTTAAAACAAAAAGACACATTTGCTTACTGACTTAAAGGTTTTTAAAAGTTTGACATTGAACCAAAAATAAAATGTTCAAAGTGATTTTGTTGTTATAACATATCAGGTGCAATTTCAATACAATGAACAACCATTTCCCGAGTTCTCGATGTAAGCAGTTATTTTGATAGGAGAGGAACATTTAGCATCAAAATAATTAAGACAATAAAAATATCCTGAGAAAGATTCTTTGTGTCTAGTGAGTGTCACTTAACAAAGGGGATGTTCTGAGGTATGTGTCATCAGGCAGTCTCATCATCACATGAACATCAAAGCCTGTCCTTACCCACACCTAGCTGATGTGTCCTAGAACACACCTGGATTGCTTGATGGAGGCCATTGCTGAGGGGCCATGACGAACAAAACTACACAAAACTGAATCAACTGCAAGAGAAAACGATGCAGTCAAGAAACACGCAAACATGAGATGTGGGAGGCATAACATGACAGTGTTCCATAGGAAACTTTCTATAGTTAGAAGGAGTATACTCCAGAATAACGACAGAGTAAGAAACATGCATAAACCAGTGACATAGCTGCTTATTGCCATTATCAAGAAATGTGCGCTGCGTGTAACCATGTGTGCCACCCAGTAGGGCTGTCTACTCCAGCATCACCACAGACACGGGAGTCGCGTGTTGTCCTATGAGTGACAGCTATGACCACACTAGGTGACAGGAACTTTCTGCTCTGTTCTGGTGGTAGGAAACAATTGCAATCCATGCAGCCCATTGCTCACTGAAATGTTATGTGGCACATGATTCTATTTACGCTCTTGCAGTGAAGTTGTTAAGCCACATCTTATTTCCAAACTGAGAGATTTCAACACACCTCTCCCCAACAGGAAGTGATGTCAGTGGAGGATGAGTCCACATCCTGTTACTGCCTTTTGGACCCCTTTGCGTGTCACGTGCTCCTGGACAGCTTTGGAACATATGCCCTCACTGGTGAGCCGATCACAGACTGCGCTGTGAAACAACTCAAGGTGGCAGTTTTTGGCTGCATGTCCTGCAACTCCTTGGATTACAACTTGAGAGTTTACTGTGTGGACAACACCCCTTGTGCGTTTCAGGTCAGCCCCTTTTCTGTAGTTCTTTTAGTGTCATTGGAGTATGGGGTTTCCTAAAGAGCAATGCCAATAGAGAACTTTACTATTAAGAGTCTAGAAAACAAGATCAGCAGGTGGCGTAATGGTTATGTTGCTGGATTCCTACATAGCCGACTGTGGTTTGAGTCCCAAACCCAGAAGCTTCAACTCATGCTGGGTGTGTGTACATGCATACCCAAGATCCTGAGAGGAGAATAGAGGAGAAAGAATTGCGGTGTTGCCATCCCTCTTGGGGGGGGGGGTTCTTGCTATCTATGTCTCTGTCTCTCTCTGTCTGTCCAGCAAGTGCATGCACACTATATCAAAAATCTCTCTAAAAGAAGGAAAGAAAGGAAAATGAATCTAGAAAATAAACTCATATCCTTGGTTTGACTGGGATACCTTTCTTGAGGCGAAAGCCATGTTACTGGCAATACGAGAGGGGTTGTGGTACTTGGAACTCAAGAATAGAAAAGGACTAAATTAATATATACAGAGAGTCATATCTACTACATTATAAAACTGACTAGAAGTATGTTTGGAAATCAACAAACAGAAGCCAATGTGGGAGAGGAGTTGGAGCAGTTGAGAACCCCTTGCAAACTTGACTCAATAAGATTTAGGAGCAAAAGACAAAAGTGTACCATATCAGAAAAGGGAAAAAGAATGACCCACAGGAATAAAAAGCTCTTTGGTGTGTAGAGGGCAGTGAGAAAATGCTTGAGTCAACTGAAGGTTGTAGTTAGGGGGAAACAATTATAAATCATACCTATCACCAGGCAGCCATATTACATCCTAGACACATAGTCCATTAATTATCAGGGCTACTAGGGCAGAAACGGTTCAAGGTTCCTTCCTATTTTTGCTATTTTTAAACATGTAAGTTTCATTTTAAATGAGCTATTCGTGATGAGCACAGGTTTAATAATAGCAGCAAGGATAATGCAGAACTGTCGTGTAAGCGCTCCCCATATATAAATAGCATAGCTCTTCTGACACACCTCATTCCAGATCCCTGCTACTCCAGTCCTGGGTCATTAAGTCCATTATGCAGAGCATTTCCTCAGTAACTAGATTTCAAGACACTGAGCTGGGAAACTCATGTTTACCAGTAGGCAAGATACAGCAACCTGAATCCTGAACACCGCACCAGACCCTCCCCATCATGGACGAGGCACAGGGCATCATGGAGGGCATGCTTAGTCTGTGGCTGCTCACAAAGGGACTTTCTTCATAGTGTGCTCTTTTATAGAATAAGGACTTTCATCCTGAGTAGCTGAACCTCATTCTACCCTTGCCATCTTATATTTTTCATCTTCCTTTTCCACCCTCAATTAGAGGAATTTTTTAAGAGAACATACATAATAGACTTCCAGTAAGCAAAAATAAAATATGGGGGCCAGATGTTGGTGCAGCAGTAATGCAACACTCTGCAATCCTGGACCCACGTGGGAAGGTCCCAGGTTCCCACCCCGAGTCCCAGGTGCATGTCAGGTACATCTGTGCAGGTCTGTGATCTGCATCGGTAGAGACTGGGAGTGAATAGCCTTGTGAGGACCCTGTGAGGGGTGCCTGCCTCTCTCTCTATTATTCTTTCATGAAAGAAAGAAATGAACATTTAGAAAAATGTATTTCAAGAAAGTAAAGTATAATAAAAGTGTAAATAGAAGGGCTCTTCCTGGGGTCACTGCATCACTAGACAGTTGTGCCATAACTGAATTTGGAGGTTGAGTAGCGCAGCCAGGTGTCAGAGTCCGAGTAAACTGCAGTCCCCATGGACCCCGTGAGATCAGCGTCCTCGTGGTCCTGGGTGCCCCACTGCTGACCTGTCGTGACCACAAGGGGCTCTTCACACAACTGCCTTGGAAGTCAGCCCTCTAACGTCAGTTTGGAATTTCTGTGAATTTCTCACTGCTGATGGGCTGCCTATGAGATAGACATCTGCCTAAAGATTTTATTTTCAGTGACTTTCAGGTCATCTCTTTTCGTTCCTGTCAATTTACTTACCAGATCCTACAACAGCTCAACTGTTCACAGATGCATATGAATTGCTGTGAAAGGCTCAAAACGTGACCCCTCACACGGCTTTCAGACCACCACCCCTCCCTGTGGCTATCACCTTCCTAGGCAAGTTCGGGAAAAACTCTATTCTCCTTCCAATTGAATTCACATATACTTATTTCTCCATTTAGAATGATGTCTTCAATGAGTAAAAAAACCTTTAATTTTGCTTTAATTTTATTTTTTTTCCATGGAAAGGCCCTTGACCCCACTAGCCATAATCTATTTACCTCCAGTGATTCTTTCTGTCTCCTATTATGTCCAGGAAGGCTGATTTTGAAGTTGAGTTGGTTGTTCTTGTTATTGACAGGCTGTTTGTGACAGCTGTCATGAGCAGCAAAGGCCGCACTTCCCCCTTGGGGTTCTGAGAGATCATCAACCGTGGCTGAATAACTTTTCTGGCCCACAGAGAGAATAAAATGGAGCATGTAGTTTTTCAGAACAGAGCTTCCTAGTCCGTTTATGCCATAGTCTCGGTCTCTGTTTTAGTTTTACAAAAAGATCTTGCTTTCTGGATTTCTGCCTTGTTAGCGAAGGTATTCTGAACCTCCCACAAAGATTCATTTGGACCGCTTTATAATTCCAAATCATTTGTGTCATATTTATATAGCTTCATATGTGATATGTAATTAGAGGAGAGAATTTAATATAATTACCAGTCCATTAAAACATTTCTACTGTAGGAGAGCCTTAGCAACAGTTTATTTTTTGAAATTCTAAGTCTTCACAAATCAATATTAGCTCCCCTAATCTATGTGATGTGAGCTGAAAATATGGTATACAATGGCAATTCATTTTCCTTTTTTGGAGAGATTTTGTTATAGGGCACATGCGCTCACCAGAAATACAGAAAGAGAAAGAGAGACAGAAAGCAAGAAATCACCCCCAAGGGGGATGGCCATGCCGCAATCCCTTCTCCTCCATTCTTTTCTCGGGATCTTGGGCACTCAAGTACATGCACTCGGTGTGAGTTTAAGCCACCAGGTCCAGGACTCGAACTGTGGTCAACTACATGGGAGTCCAGTGACATAGCCATTATGCTGACTGTTCGTCCCACAATTCATTTTCCTTAACCCTTCTAGAACTCTGACTTCTTTGATTTTTTTTATTTTTAATTTGCTATCAGGTGTATGTACTCAGCTGAGGGAGGGACAGAAAGAGAATGTGAAAAAGCCCTCCCATTGGGAATAGTCACGCTGCAACCCCTTCTCCTCCATATCTCCTTTCAGGATTTGGGGTGCACAGGCACATGTGCCGTCTGTGTTCTCAAGCCACCGGATCTGGGTCTTAAACAGCACAGGTGGCCACGTAAGACCCAGCTGCCTTAATCATCATGCCGCTGGCTTGCCCAAACCCTGACTTCTTAATCAAAATTAGGATGTAGTTTTTTGTGGAGGATTTCTGCAGAAATTTCCCATTCTAGACTTTACTTCCACTGTCACTGCAAGGAAAGAGGTCATAAGAAATGAGTACCCGCTAGACCTGTGCTCTTCGCCGGAAGGAAGCCTCTTAAAGGACACTGTTGCATCTTCCACTTTGTGTATATCCCATTAGAAAATCACGTTTCTAAGCATTTAAATGCCACCCTATCACTGGAAGACCTGCAGGAAGGAAAGCTTCTGGACCCCACTCCACCTCTTTTCTCAGGACTTGGTGAGGGCAAGGTAACAATGTCCCACTCCCCCAGAGATGATCTCTTTAGTGTAACTAGAAAAACCCCACTTTCAGTTATGCCCTCCTTTTCTCATGCCTCCTGTGGGGCTACTCTGCTTGCTTCTCATCTGCTCCAGCAAGAGCTTATCTGAATCATAGTACCAGCTTCTTTGAATGACAAAAACAAATAGCTCATCTACCTAGCTAGGACATAATTAATTTAGTTTCAGATTTTTACAGATCTGTTCTGATAAATACATCTAAAACCGTCTCCAAGGAAAATTCAATCAGCTCAGCTATGTTTCTAAAAAATAAAAATGGCATCTGTCTGAAGGTGAGAGAAGGGTAGGAAGAGGAAATCCAAATGACTTCTTGTCCTTTCTGCCACCTCTGTGTTTCTGTAATAATTAGAGCTGCCATTTTATGTTTGTGTGCTTGACATCATCCCCTTTGATATATTCCAACTGGAGGTGGGAGAATGGTGATATATTTTAGAAGCAGTAACATTTTAAGACCTGTTTTTTTGTTATTGTATTTTATTACACATGGACACATGCATACAGCTCAAACAAACCTTGACTTAGGAAAAGCAAGGCATTAAGCTCTTGCTCTGGCTTATCTTGGAAAGAAAAAAGAAAAAGCTCATTTCCCCCGAGCACTCCCCGCACTCCTATTCACACCTCTTGGTGCTCATTACTTACTTGGCATTAATGTGGGTTTACAATCTCATTTCAAAGGATTTCTTACAGATGTAGTGCTTGTGTTTATCAATAATGCAACCTTGGGAAATATTGTTCAGGTAAAGCATTTAAAGGAAAACACCACAGCAACAGAATGTGTGTGTGCGTGTGTGTGTGTTCAGTTTTGTCGTGTAAGTATGTAAGCGCAGTCCTCCTGTGTTGGTGTCCCGGAAGCACCCCTCAGTGGGGCTGCCTGTCTCGCTGAGTCAGCCCACAGCACTCAGAGGCACAGAGCACGTGTTCTGACCTCAGCTCCTACGGTCGGACGGCTTACAACCAATGTGCCATGGTGAAGTTGGGCACCTAGAAAAACCTCTGTCTGGAGCCTCCGGGTACATAAGACATATGAGAAGCTAGCCTGGCCCTATTTTCCTGTTTCATTAACTCAGATATCCACTTAATAAAAGGGCCAGGGATTTGGCAGGAGGTCCTTGTCTTTCAGGAGGCAGACAGGAAAAGAGTCCCTCGAGCGTGATGCATCCACGTGAAAGATGCAGAACAGACTACGAGAGCTGTCGTGTCCCCGATTTCCAGACCTGGCTGAGTTTTACAATACCCCGAGCAGTGTCCAACACTGCAGAGGTCCAGGCCCAGCCCCAAACAGTAACACGGTTGGCCAAGGGCATAACGGGGAGATTTACGTGAACTGTAATCTGTTCTCTTTGGAGAGTTTTTAAACCTCATACTCAGCAGTATATTTCTTTAAGTATGAAGCCATTTGTGCCGTCACAAATGTATAAACACAATGATTAGTTCATTATTGGGCTTTTGTTCATTATCATAATTAATTGTCTTGTTACAGAATAAACATATTGTTTAATATTTTGTGCAAGATTACAAGACACTGTTAATCGTATATGGTTGATTTAACATGTACACATTAAAATAGTAGGCTAAAAAAGCAAAACACAAATCATGCTTGTATTTAAATGTAGGGCTCTAATGCAGAATTTGTTAAAGGTCCACTTTTTACTGCTGTGATTATCTAAGTAGATATAATTTTATAAAATCCTCATATTCTTTATTTCAAGGACTGTTTAGATAATATATAGGGCAAATATAGACCAAGTTATGTAATCTTATGCATATATCATACACCAATGAAATTATTTATGAGACAGAGTTAACAGCAGTCTGACCTTCACGTGAATCTTTAAAAAAAAGTTTAAGCATAACGTAAGAAAAGGCAGAGAAAACTGATATAAAACACTAGACCATGACCACATTGTCAAGTTCTAGTCTTAGCACTAGATATTAACCATGTGGCTTTGGGCAAATAACCCCCTTTGGGAGACTCGACATGTTCATCTATAAATAAGGTAGTGTACACCTTCATTATGTTGCTTCTGCTACGACAATTCTGGGTAATTTCTAAATATTTAAACCGTCCAGCACTGCGTTAAGTAATTTATGACCTTGACCAAGTTATTTCTTCTCCTGACTTTTTACTTCTCTTTATGAAAAGGCAAGCTAATTTTTTTTTTTTGAAAGGAGGTACCCTTTGCAGAGCTCAGTTCAAATGTGCCTAGAAGAGTCAACACTGTTATTACACTGTGGCTTTAATATGGCATTAATAAGCACATTTCTTATTTATTCTTGTTTCTAATCTTGCACCAGAATTGCAAAAAGAGGTTAATGTATTAACACGCTAATTATTTTGCTTTACTATGAATAAACCCAGGTGAGACACGGGGGCCTAAGAAAAATAAGCGATTTACCTAAGACCACATAGGGAAGTGATTAGAGTCCTGTGCTTCAATCGTCAGTTTATTTGATTAGTTTTCTTTTGAACATATATGGCCCCCAAAGGAATATTATATGCCTTAAAGCAGGAGTAATATTACTTCAAATAATAAAACACAAAGTCCTTAGAAAGGCAAGCAAGAAGTCATGGATTGGCCTCTGTTGTATGTTTTCATCATTTCCAGCAGTAGGTCATCTACCCTGCTGACCTTCCCAGCCCTGTCTAGCTGCCATGCTGTCTATGTATCCTGCTTAGGGGCAAGAATGCCTTCTCCCTTCTTTGGAAGTGGCAAACTCCTATGTTTACCCCAAGCTTCAGCTTGGATACTCTTCCATGTTAACCCCTCCTTCCTGTCCTGTCCCCCAGTATGGTTAGGTGGGCATCCTTTGTTTCTCAAGGTGCTGGCCATGCCTTTCTGCGGTACCTACATAGTATGTAGTCACTGCATGCTGACTCCTCTCTGGACTGGGAGCACCTGGTGGCAGAGAGGCCTTCACTTCTGCACACCCAGTGCCCAGCTCAAGCATAGTTCTGGTGGACACTTACTAAATCTCAAAAGGAGGAGCTAGTGACCAGTAGTTGTAAAAGGCCTAATGTCATCCCCAGTAGGCATTAGGATGAATCCCCTTCCCCCCCTCTTTCCCCTTTCCTTCCCTCCTTTGAAGCCCCATCAGACACTGGCTATCATGTCATTATGCCTGACTCTAAGACGCTCAATGTCATGTACAACCTGGTGTGATAGTGTCCGGGACAGTAATGGCAAACCACATGTGGACGTTTACATTGACACTAATCACAACAAAAATCCCAGTTCCCTACTCATGTCACCATAGTTCAAGTGCTTTCATAGCCAAGGTGGCTGGTGCTCCCCGTGTGGGTTGGGTAGAAAACATTCCATCACCTCAGTGAGTTCAGTGTGGACCCAGGGTCCCAGGAAATAGCCCTCCCACCAGGAAGGCTGCAGAGCTAGAGAAAATGACACTGGAGCAGGATCACATAGTCCTGAAAACAAAAACAAAAACAAAAACAAAACACACCAGCAGCATACTAACAGTGTATGTGTACTTGAAGGAGAGCAGTTGGGTGGCCTTTCAGTCAGAAATATTTTTATTGCCGTCATTCTACTTGTGGATGGGAGATGGATAAGGTACCTGCAAAGCTGCTTTTACATGAAAACTGAGATGAAAGGTTTATTCATTTATTAACCTATTTGCTTTACTTCTTATAATCATGTTTAGAATCTGAGATTATAGGATAAGAAGGATCTCAGCCTTCGTATTTCTCTTAGCTCTGCAAGGAAATTATGAGCCAATTAATAGTGATTTTCAGCTGAACTGAGAGAGACCTCTTTTCTCTAGTAACACTGACAGTCACAACCCTGTAGTGTCTCACTGTTTACACAATTCGTACTCGGCTCTGTTATTTCATCTGTCCTGTCGTCTCTCCAGCACAATTCTAACCACCACAAATTTGAGCCAATTAAAGAGTTCCCACAGCAGTGCGCATGTGGCTTTGCCTATATTAGATATCATTGTAAAGAGTTCTTAGTGAAAGACACGGGAGAGTTTACCTCAGGAATTGAATTTCCCTTTTCCTGAGCTAAAGCTAACTTGATCAACAGCATATTTTTTTCTTGACTTTTTGGTATGAACATTTCTGCAAATAAGCATGACACATACACTCCGGGAACATTATTCTGAACCAGAAGGACACATATCGGAAATGCCTGTGTTAGTGAAGAATAACCGAGCCATATATATTGTGGAATATGAGGATGTGACAGCCCAGGTACAAAGGCACCCTAGATTGTGGCGCTATCAGGATGACATTTATGCAATGGTGGAAACTCAACAGTTTCGGGACTTGCTTGGGGGTGGGAGAAGTCTTGTGATGTGTTTAAAAGCCTAAGCAATACAAATATGAGGAACAATGGTCTCTTTGGCACCAAATCCTACTGATAATCAGCTCGCAGTTCTCAGTCCTGAACTGCGGAGGGTAGGGAGATACGACAGAAATGGGCCTCGATCGCCCTGTGGTTGGTTTCTGGGTAACATGTGGAAGCAAGCTGCCGCGTCCTTAGACATGGAAATTTCCAGCGTTGGACCAGATGCACCACCATTACTCCTCTTCCTTTTGCTTGCTGTAGGAGGTGGTTTCAGACGAACGGCATCAAGGGGGGCAGCTGCTGGAAGAACCAAAGTTGCTGCACTTCAAAGGGAATACCTTCAGTCTTCAGATCTCCGTCCTCGACATCCCGCCATTTCTCTGGAGGATTAAACCATTCACTGCATGCCAGGTACTGGCCCGGGGGTACTGGTCCAGGAGTACTGGTCCAGGGGATTCAGCCCAAATAGTGGGCCTGTCTCAGACTTGGGGGAGGGTCCTCCTTAGTTCCCTGCTCTTGTAAAGTGTGGATTTCATCTCAAAACTGTCTCAGAGTTCGAGCAGCTTAGGCTTCACCCAGGGAATGGGATGCACCAGGGCACATTCACAGGCCCCACCAGCTGGGGAGAAGGAGCTGTTGGGGGCCACGACAGTTCTCTTCCTGTTGGAATTGTCGCTCACTATAAGTTGAACCTGCCAATTTCACAAATTATAGCACAGTTTTTTTTTATTAAAATTGGTTCATTATGAAACATTGTTTTAATCATTTCAGCAATGAGTAAACAGAATGTTAGTCAGAGCCTATTTAAGGGTGGTGATTTTGAGCTATTGGGAGCTGTGGCTGGCCAAGGGGGAGCAAAAGCTTTTGTCCTTCGTAAATGAAGAGCTTGCTGCCTGACGACGGGGGAAGATGAGAAGGAAAAATTAAGAATGGAAAAGCAAAGAAAGAGTTAGGCCTCTTTACAGCCCTTTTGTAAGGGCATGAAGGTATTTAGACAATATTGCCCACATCTCTATTAGAGGTGTCTTTTGTTTTGTTTTTTAACATTCAGTGCAACTCGAGTGTCTGGATCTTTTCTAGAGATTTTGAGTACAAGCTTAGTTTGAAAAAAAAAAAAAAACTTTAACCCCCCCCCCAGCCTGCCAGTGAAGCCCAGAAACATTCCCAGTGATGGGCATTGCCAGCATAAGCCGCCCGCTAGTCTACCATGGTTTCTGAAGCCAGGTTCGCCCGTGCTTCTCAGGACATTCCCTGAGCTCCGGAAAGGCTTCTGGTGAACTCACATGGTCTGGGAGCCCGGGACTCTGTCAAGCTTTATCATTCTCATCAGCCTATCCTCCAGAGCCCTGTAGAATTTCCACCTTTCCATCCTTGCAGAATTCATTTCTTAAAAACTACACATACTATACTAGCTTGTCAGAATGAACTGCCAAACCACAAAGAGAAAGCCTTGAATGTACCAGGGCAGTTAGAAAAAAGTTGAACCCGCAATTCTTTCAACTCTTAAAGTCCAGAATTTTCCAACTGGACAAGGGCACACTTTCCTTTTTTCTTCTGAGCTGTCTTCTCACCTCAGGGATCGCCCATCCAAACATTCTTCATGTGTTTAAAGCAGCCCAAACATCACTCGTGGCACTGAACAAATTATTTTTAAGTACACTCAGCTCCTTTTCTTATGCAGAGTTTTCTGTGAATAAATGTATCGTTTATGGCATTTAAGACTGGGGTGTCTTCATTTTCCAGTAAGCAGTATTTGAAGGTTCTCATCCAAATTGAACTTCAGAGTATTGTTAAAACCAGTCCTGATAGTCATGCAAATTCCTCCATATTAATCTTTATAGGTTATAAGGGCCTCATTTCACTGGATCTAATGTGAGTGACTCTGTCCAAAGTAACTATTAAGTTTAACGCGTAGAGATAAAAAATCAGATGAAGGAGCCATACCTCACGGCAGCACTGAACCAATAATCCTAACACCAGGGATACCAGAGAGCCCTGGCAGGAGTAGCTCAGGGGCTGCGTGCCCGCCGACCTCGGAGAATGCGCTGGGGCCACCAACACCAAAAGGCCTTGGCTCACGAGGAACACAACCAGCTCTCCTGCTGGGATGAGTTGGACAGTGTGGAGGTTGTGAACATGTATAAATATTTGCCTTTTGTAATTGAGCATAATTTGGAAAAGTCTTGGAAGGCTGAGAAACAATTTAATTTTCTCTGCATCAGGAGGCTTGCCACTGAGTTTTCATTTCCACTTCATTTTTCTTACCCAGAATGGCTTTCCGCTCTATTCCTCCTTCCTCTTTACCACCCCTACCACCAATCTCCTTGTGCTCGTCATCACTGCAATCCCTCGGCTGGTGTGAGCGCATATTGTGCTTGGGTTAATGGCCATGCTGTGTTTGCTCGGGGCATGAGATGGAAGCGCTTGGGGAGGGTTTGTGCTCAGCCTGCTCGAACCTCATGCAGAACATCCTGTGCCCTGACAAACTTGGCGTGGATAATAGAGGATAGCTTTTCATTAGGGCTTAGTGGTTAGGAACTAACAGGGCTTTTTTCTCGTTATCCCAGAGAGCTATTGTGAAGCCGGGAAAAATCACACTATTCCTGACATCATGTAAAGGCCTCTTCTTTAACTAGTAAACCTTCCTGTCATGTCCGATGTCCACTCGATGCGTGAAAGATCTCTGGAAGTGGCAGACTCTTATTTATCTCTCCCTTTCTCTAAGTTCAAATCAGGAACCTGGAAATCAACACCATACAACCAGTGATTCAACTCTTCTCGTTCAGGAAAACTTGTTTTAGTTTGCTTTATTTTCCCGGAAAGGTGGAATTCCCCAGGAAGGTACAGACCTGGGAGGCACCACATGCTAGTAAGTTTGCCCTCAGACACCAACCTGCATGAGTAATGTTTTTAGAGAGGTAGGAATTTCAGGTTGGATCCAGAGCTATGCGGTGAGCACCTGTGTGCAGAAGGACCAACTAGATTTTAAATCTGTCGGTGTAGGTTCTGGAGGGTGATGACAAGGATTGTTATACTACAGCAGCTATGCTGTCTAACAACATGATGGGATGTTCTACAGCCTACTGTGTATGAAGCCAGGTGTGGAGGATGGGAGAGAGGAAAGGAAAGACTACCCGTGCTCTACAGAGATCTTGTTACAACAGCAGCCACTGACCTTGGTCTGAAGACAAATTGAGGCCTGTCTGCCCCCTCCTCCCCCAAATGAACAACTCATGCCTTCCATTTTCCATTTTCTTCTTAGCTTCAAGACTCTACCACAGTTAGGAACCTGCCATTGTCCACTGCAGAGCTAGGGACTCTCATGTAGGAGTTATAGAACTGCTCTTCAAGGATTCCTGGGACCCAAGAGCTACTTGACCATGACTTCCTTTATTCCACATTGACTATGGGGTAGGGAAGCTGTTATAAATAGTGTGCAATGAATTATTAATTTATTGTTTCAACCAACAAAACACAAAGCCAGGTGTTGACTCCCTAGGATAAATGTAGCCATCTTTCCGGGATGCTATGTATCTCAGAGAACCAGTGTCTATCTCCTGCTAGGCTGTGGTTTCCATGACCTCCACCTGCTAGGCACTAATTTTCGTGAAACCACTCTGAAAATATTTCCGGAATTCTTTAAACACCCATAGCCTTACTGCACTTCATCCTCTCACAGGACTTCCTATACAGGTGCTATCAGCTCAGGGAGCATGTGGGCATCTTCATGTTCATTTCTGTGTGTTTTGGTTTTTTAATAAATGAAAGCAAAGATGATTGCCCTGAACAGTAATCACAGTGCTTCTAATTCTGCTTTTAAATAGTTCGTTGAGCACTATCCCCCTGCCACTCAAGTCAATAATGAAAAGTATTCTAAGGACACTGTCTTAAAGCCAGATTTTTTTAAAGGTTTTGATTTGACAGCATGAGGTGAAATAAAAGGAGAGAGGATTTTTGTGCTGTTCCTATTCCCATGTCTTTCTGCAATGTAAGATTTCTGCCGCGGTGGGCATTACTCTCTTACTCTCCTTCCAGTGTTTTCAGGAGGAAATACAGGAAATTTAGCAAATGATGGCAGAGAAGACACTTTTCAGTGAGTGGTCAGTGTCATTTTATAGGTGAGCATTACCTGAGATTCAAATCCACTGCAGAGAATGTGGTTTTGCATCAGTACTGGACCTTGAGTTCAGGTATTTTTAGCCCTGAAGCCCAAATGCTTACATTTTACTACAGTGACTCAAATTTCAGTTTTAGAAGACAAAATCACCTCTGCTTAGATTGGCAAAACCAACTTTGTCAAAAGCACCCCGAGAGCCCTATATTATACTTAGTTTTTGTACTAATGCTACCGAACTTTTCTGGTTTGGAGGGGAGAGTTTATTTCAGGCCAGTAAAAATGAGAATGGAGGAAATCAGTACCAGAGCAGACGCTGGAAGCTCTTGAAGGCCAGGCAGGAGACCAGGCTTGGCTGGGAAGGAGCTGCAAGGCACAGTGACTCCCTGAGCACAGGAATCTTGGAAGAAAAGCAGTTCCTTCCTGGGTGGTCTGGTCACATCAATGTTTCCCACGTGTGACGTGAAGTAAAATAAAGACTGTGATTTTTTTCCTGGTGAATATCAGTCAGCTGTTCCCCTCTCTGTCAGCTCCTACTTCCTCTGTGAGCACTGTCTACTAGTAATTGAAGGCAAGAAGATGAGTGAGCAGCTTGGTTCCGTTAGCTGTGATGAGGTGTAATGAAGATACGGAAACTGGAGAAGAAGGACAATGGAGAGAACAGGTTCTATTCAGATTTCAAAAGTTAGTGTGGCCAGAGAAGCTAAAGCCAAGTAATCGGTGCTCAGGAGTAGAGAGTGGGGACTGGTGACAGTGAAATAATTACGAGACTTGTAGTTATCAGACTCTTCCACAGAGACATGGCAGTTGGCTGTGTGAGAGCAGAGGTGATGGTAGACAGCAAAGTGTGGGAGGCTGAGATCCGAAGCACAAGTTCCCCATGGTTAACAAAATGGAAGAAGGATCAGGAGGAGAAAGTGGAGAAGAGTCCAGTTAGATGATAAAGAGAAATAACAGAACATGTAAGTACCTGTTATGGTACAAATAAAAGTCATTTTTGAGT